AACTGGCTCTGAGGATTGTTGTAACTTGTGCAGAGCAAGTTTCGCAGTTCGGTTCAAACCATTGTCTTAGGTATTCGCTTTAATGCGCGCGATGTTTATGTAAAAAGCGGACTGGGGTAATGATCTGACAAGGTAACTTCAAACTAGAGGATGTTCAGGAGAATATACCCCGCCGCAGACGAAAATCAGTTCTAGAACCTTCAGGTGCACGCACATATGCATGCTCACCTGAAAACACACACACACATATATATTATGTATACACTTATGTAGGGTAGAGCGAGGCTTAAAGATCCGCTAGTATAATGTCCACCACCATCAAGTAAAGTAGGGTAGAGCGAGGCCTAAAGGTCGTGGCTATGAAGGTTCTCCGCCGATATCTCAAAAGCAACAAAAATACAGAATTTTTTCAACAACATTTGTATAAAGAGGGAACAAGACGCATAACCAGCCATCTCTTTGATTCTTACGACGTCACCATCGGGAGATAAATGACATTCTTGAAAAACCATAACAAAAGTATTTTATTTCGTTGTTAGTTTTTTGGCTCAATATAATTGCTCACAATTAAATTGAACTTTTGTGCTCGCCCTATCCTATAGAATTTTTTATGACTCTCTTTCAAAGTGCATGGTAAAATATAATTAACCAGCCATCGTATTATATTGGGAGGCACGGATATCAGGAGATAAGCGGCCACATTGTCTAAGTACTATTTAACTTCCCGTAGGGTATTAACTTTCCGTAAGGTAAGTTATTGTAATCGTCCAAAAATCGAAATCGAAAATGTTTACATTTCTCGACGTTTTGAAGGTTTCTGAACATTTTGACATACTTCAGAAAAAATGGATGTGTGGGTGTGTGTATGTGTGTGTGTGTATGTATGTATGGATACAATTTTTCGTCCACGTTTTCAGGCGCACGGATCAACCGATTTAAATGGTTCAAAAAACATTCGATTTGTATCGATAGGGAGATGTGCTGATTAGTTTTTGGCAAAGGCTGGTCCAGAGTTACGGAGATAAAGCGCAAAGAGTGCAGAAAATAAAAATCGAGTTTTTGAGATAACTGAGCATCCGATTTGAATGATCCAAAAAGCTTTCAATTTGTAATGACGGGGAGAAGTGGTGATTAGTTATGGCAAAGGCAGGTCCAGCGGTTTCAGAGATACAGAGCTAAATGGCAAAAATGGTCGTTTTTGAGGGAACTAAGCGCCCGATTTAAATGATTCAAAGAACTTTCAGCTTGTTTTGAAAATTAACAAAATAATTGATTTTGAAAAAAAAATTGTATCATTTTGTTTTTGTACATCGAAAATAATTCAGATTTTATTTTCACTTTGACTAAAGTTCTAATATACTTCAAACGGATAATTTTAACTTTGCAATTAGTTTATATAATTCTTATAAATATTAGACAATGTTACAATATTAATAATAATCTATTGAAAACATTTAGTATTCCTCGAACATTTCGTTACGGTACGGGAAGTTCAACAATTTGCCTCAAGGCACGATGCCATACACCCCACTAGTTTACTTTTATTTAATTATTTATAGTATTTTTCCGACTTGCTAATAAAATTATTATTAAATACTTTCTGTTCTTACAATTAATATTGAAATGTGAAAACATTATAAAATTAAAAAATAATTCAACTGTAAAGCAAATGATGTAGCGTTTGTGTTTCTTATTTGTATTGTTTAGTTAATCACGAAGGATCAGTTCGCGATACCTTCTCGAGTGTTCGTATCAATATGCCGTAGATTTTATTACAGCAAAACAACAAGTAATCACCGCAGCGGAAACTTTGCCAAAGTCCTGGAAAGTCCAGTTAAGCGCCTCGAGCTTTCGTACATAGAAGTTCAGTCGAGTCGAGAGCGTATCAGAAAGGAGCCCCCTAGTTTGCAGAAGTACCCCAAACTGGAAACGGCCATCGACTGCACGCCGTTCTCCACCGACATGTTTAGTTACAAACTTAATGTATGTACATGTATCACGCAGAAAGCACGCCGGCTCACAAGCTATTCATAAGCGATTTACTGGGTACTTTTTATTACTTCATTAATAAAATTAATGAAATGAGCGGGGCGAGTAAAAATACCTGTCTCGAGCTCTGGTGCTCATCAGCTGGGGGGTATTATATAAGTAATCGTCATAAAAACGAAAATATTTTTTTGCCAATCTTTACGTTTCAGAGGTTTCTGAACATTCTGGCATACCTCAGAATAATGGATATATGTGTTGTATGTATGTGTGGATACAATTTTTCGTCCACGTTTTTGAAAGCACGGATAAACCGGTTTGAATGATTCAACTATAGTGGAGTATGGCATCGTGCCTTGCAAATAGCTGGAACTTACGTACCGTAATGCAATATTCGAGAATATTAAATCTGTTCAAATAGATTATTATAAATACTGTAACTTATACATATGTTTGCAGAAAAGTGAAGAAACAAAACTTAATCGAATTTAAAATGAAAGACATTATTGTCTAATATTTATAAGTATTAGATAAACTGAATTGTAAAGTTAAAATTATTTATTTGAAGTATATACGTGAGATTTAAAACTTTAGCTAGAATTAAAATTAAAAACCGAATTATTTTCGATATTCAAAAATAAAAAAAAAATTGAAAAACAAATTTTTTTCTGACACAAGCAGGAAGTTTTTTGAATAATTGAAATAGGATGCTTAGTTTTCTCAAGAACTGCCATTTTTTGCACATTGTGCTCGGTATCTCTGAAACGGCTTTGCCAAAAACTAATTAGCACATCTCCCTATCAATAGAAATCGAATGTTTTTTGAACCATAGAAATCGGGTGGTCCGTGCGCCCGAAAACGTGGACGGAAAATTGTATCCATTTCACACGCACACACACCTTCGTTTCAGGAGGTCGAAATTTTGGATTGTTTTGCGATTACTATAAACTTACTTTACGGAAAGGTAATATTTAATTCTAATTTAGTAAAAAAATTATTGTACCTATTTATTGGCAATAACTGCACAATGAAAGTAGTTATAAGATATCAGGCGTGTAAAATATTTATGTTCTATTGATTGTAAATTCAATTCTAATTAAAAATTTCATTCTTAAAAAAGCTGGCATAGTACTACCATTATTGGACTGTATTCAAAAAAAATATATTTTTTAAAGTATATTTAGAACTATTTTGCCGAGATACCTTTATTTTCGTTCGAATAACATATTTCTGTAAAACAAAAATTATACAGAATTAATGAGTATAAAACTTTTTATATTTTTCTGAACTAAGGTACTTTCTCAGCTGTTTTGTGAGCATTGTGTATAGTTTTGGATAATTTTCTTCATAATCATGTATAGAAAGTAACTCATGGTAAGTACTTCAGGGAAATTTGGGGAAAAAACCTGAACTGAGAATAAATATCCAGGATGCTAATCCAGAAAAGTTCCAGTCAATTCATGCCATATGGTCAAAGTCAAGATAAATAGTATGGTAGTGTAAGTTATATTTTTTATAGCATATCAAATGATTAATAGAACATTATTAAAAAACATGCGTAAGTTTAAAATTTATTTATTAAAATCTTTCACGAAATATTTTGGCATAACCACATAAGTTACTTTTAATCAAACATGATTAATATATAAATTATACAATACTCATATGTTCACATTTACTATATTGAAACATTTGATATGACTTGGTGTTAAATAATAATAAGCAAATGAAAACTAGAATACAAAATAACCTTTATTTACTATAACTTAAAATGAATAGCTTTGATTAACAATATAAATGTTTATATTAAATAAATATAATTCTACATGTTATCTATAATTAAACACATTATCCTGTCCAAATCATCACAGGGATCATTATTACTACTATCAAGATTACTTCCTTCAACTTCGTCAATTTCTGAATTATTGAATAAACTCACATCTGCTTCAGATTCCGGAAGCCTTTGTAGTGCTGTTTGCAATGTATCATGAACCTTTTCCAAATGCTTCTGAAATCTATATAAAAATTGAATTTACACACATTGTACATATATAGTTTTCTTCGTGTGATATAAATTTTATAAAATTGCAAATGTTATTAGTCTGAAAGTAATGTTCGTAAAGCATTTATTGTAGACGCTTCGTAATCTACTCAATTAAAATGAAAATTTAGACAAGTATAAGAGTAAATTCAAGAATACTATATTTTTCTCTAACATGATTTATATTGTGAAGAATTATAAGTTGAAATCAAATGCTAAATATGTGTACCTGCTAAAAAATAAATCTAAATTATATTCACCTTAAAGCAGTTTCAAGTCTCTGTCGTTTTTGCAATTCCATCATAACCCTTAATGTTTCTCGTGCCTGATGTGGTCGAAATTCATTTATTAAATGATGTATATGCACAAATAAAGTTGTAAGATCTTCAACCTGCAAAAATGGCGTGATAGTATCAATGTCAGCAAAAGTACGGCTGCTTATTTTTTTTCTAAATATCAAACCTTTTCCGCACGTTTTGGAGATTCAGGACACAGAACAAGTAAATCTAATAAATCAAGAAAATTTACTAATAAAGAATGATTCAGTTTTTTTAACTCTCGACGTCTATCACAATGTTGAGGATATAAACGTTTAATGCCCTTAAAAAATGAAGAAGATATATTACTAACTTTTATATTAGATTGTTACTTAAATTTTATTTTATAGTTAACTACCTGTATGTCCAATGGTCGTATTATAGAATCATCTGCATTAAAGTTATTTCCAAACATAGAATACGTATCATGACATGGTAGAGGTGGCTTTGGAGCCCTATTTCGTCGAATATTTTCATCTGTGTATAAATTGATGTATTGCACAGGAGGCAAAGGAAGGGAACTTACTTGGGCTACATCTGACATTGTAAATTTATAAATTAGCTATAAAATTTTAAATAGTTTAGTATTGCAACAAATTTTAAATAGTTTAGTATTGCAACTAAATGTGTAAATAAATTAAATAGATTCGAAAAACTGTCAAGTCAATACAAAACTAAATGTCAAAACAAAAAGCATAGACTATGGGTGCATTCGACTTGGACGCTTACGCGCTGTGAGCGCGCCGTGAGCGCGCTTTCATCGTTCGACTTGGCGCTGTGAGTGTCACATAAGTACGCTCGTAGCATCATCGTAGGATGCTCGTAGCACATATTTTGCGCTCATACGTGCTCACGCCACAGAGGTAGGGCAGCGTGAGCGTGAGCGTCAGTTGTTTTTACTGTCATTTCATTTATTTATTAATTGTCAAATTCTTTATAATTCCGCAAAAATGCCAAGTTGTATATCACATTTATTTTTTAATATTAATATTAATATTAATTAATTTTAAATTCAATTAATTTTAAATCATTTTAAATTTTAATTTTAATATTACTATTAATTAAGCATAAGCTAACCAAATTTCATTTATTTATTAATTGTTAAATTCTTTATAATCCCGCAAAAATGGCAAGCTGTATATCACAATTATTATTTAATATTAATATTAATATTGATTAATTTTAAATTTAATTGATTTTAAATAATTTTAAATTTTAATTTTAATGTTACTATTAATTAAGCATAAGCTAACCAAATTTCATTTATTTATTAATTGTTAAATTCTTTATAATCCCGCAAAAATGCCAAGTTGTATATCACATTTATTTTTAATATTAATATTAATATTAATTAATTTAAATTTAATTAATTTTAAATAATTTTAAATTTTAATTTTAATATTAATATGAATTAAGCATAAGCAAACCAAATTTCATTTATTTATTAATTGTTAAATTCTTTATAATCCCGCAAAAATGCCAAGTTGTATATCACATTTATTTTTTAATATAATATTAATATTATATAATTTTAAATTTAATTAATTTTAAATAATTTTAAATTTTAATTTCAATATTACTATTAATTAAGCATAAGCTAACTAAATTTCATTTATTTATTAATTGTTAGATTCTTTATAATCCCGCTGAATGATCCAGAAAGTAATAAAATTTACACAATTACCGCTACCCCACCGCCATTTGCCGCCATTTTGATGCTTATTGACGCTCACAGTTTCCAAAACGAACGGATTTCAGTTATCGATTCTGAGCGCTTATCGGCCAAGTCGAACGCTAAAAATTCGTGCTTATAAGCGTGAGCGCTCACAGCGCGTAAGCGTCCAAGTCGAACGCACCCTATGTAACGTTTTAAAAAGAGTAACATGATTCGAAGAAAACATCGATTAGCAGCCATCTAGCGGAGACTAGTAAAACTCTCTGTTATCTATGCTTTGAAATGTCAAATTATTTTGACGTTTAACGTTTCTTTCTCAACTTATTCTTGATTTATTATAATATTATTTTATTATATTGTCTAGAATTTTTAACAATAGTTTAATTAATTTCACATTTTCATATTTCTTTATATTAACATGTAGTGTTTCATTTTGATATATATTTTGCATTAGTTACAAAAGGGTTTTTGAATTTATATGGTGAAGACATTTATTGAGGGCATTACATTCAGGTAAATGAATGCAGTAAAGTGTATAATAAGGTGTAATCATCAAATATTTTAAAAGACTTCGACAGTTAAATAACTTTTTGAAATTTCTTGTTCAGTGTCCTGAATTTACAAATCGTGCTAAGCTTACAATTAGATAAAAAAAATGACCTAAGTGTACAGGCATTTTATGAATTGAATAATATCATAGTTTCAGAATTATTTTATTCATAAGTAATTTTAAAATTTAATAATATATTTACATTTTTATTAATTTATTTAGAATGCTGCACATGTGTTGTCGATTACTAGAGCTATAGACGCTGACTGGAAATAGAAACAAATACATAAACATTATTATATTACATAATTAGTAATATATACATAATTACATAATATATATATATATATATATATATATATATATATATATATATATCTATATATATACACACATATGCTATTTAAAATATCTACATTATCAAACATTTTATTACCATACAAAAACTTGGTATTTCGAAAGAAAAATGTTTAAGAAAAAAGTCTTAAGTTAAAAAAGTTTGTGAATACAATATAGATGGGTGTATATGTTTAATATATCTCCTATAATTTTATAATCTTTCAATGAATATGAATTAGGTTTGATGAATTTAAATTACTTACAACACTGCATGAGATCATGAAACCACAGAGCAGCTTAGTATACTTATAAATTTGGGAAAAAAATATAAATTTACTTATATAGTACTTACAAATAGTATAACATCCATTATACAGAATATACAGGCGACCATAGAGTAGTAGTAACCTCTGTCTACCATTCGTCTAATTTGCGGCACTAAAAAATAATCAGATTAGAACAAACTTTTTGGTAAATTATTATCAGCTATTTTAATATATTAATAACTTTTCTGTTGAAGCAAAATTCACATTGATATATATGATTTATAAGTTTTTTTTTTTTTAAATAAAATTCGATGTGTAATTTTCTAATAAACTTGAGGATTAGTTTAATAAATTAAATTCGTTCCCGAAATTTTCCTTAAGCCATACTAGATCATGCACACCTAATTTAATTTTTCATTAGTTATACTTACAAAGCATAAGGTCTAATGTAACACTTTTATTTGCATCCTGTTCTGTAGGCTGTTTCGAATCTAAAACTTCGTCAAGAATTGCAGTGTTGTTGAAGTAAATATGATCTGGACTGAATAGTCCTAATTTCATCTCATCTGAAAATAATAAAAGTAATAATGAATAATAAAATAATAAAATTTGTTAATTATGTGGCTAACTACACAATTTTATTATTTAACTTTTAGTTTATTATTTGATTTTACTAGTTTGTTTTTTCATTAAACGATGTGCTCAAATTTGTCTGTTGTTTTCTTCTGGTTTAAGTTTGTTAACATGTGCTGAATGATATCACTCATACACTGTCGATAAGTACATAGTAAATAATATATATATATATATATATATATATATATATATATATATATACATAAACATGTGTGTATCAATTCAATAAGTATAAATTTATATCTTACAGTATGTGAGCGTCCTTCCAGATTTTAGAAAAAACATAAATGCAAACAGCATCATTGAGGCCGCAAAAAAAATCATTATGACTTGGACCAACATTGTCATAATTATCATCTGAAATAGATATAAATTAAATTAATTGTGCTAGGACGATATAAATGTGGCATGTTTTTTTTATATTTAATTTTTGTTATTTTTTTCATATATTTATTCAAGTTTAGATTCCCAAAAATGTATGTATGTCTATACAAAATTAGCAAACTATGAGCAAACAAATTTTCCAATCGACATACGACTTGGCTACCACAACAAATTTATATTTAAGATAGAAAAATATTAAAAAACTATTATTTCTGATACTAACAGAACAATTACAAAGTAATCCGATTTCGTTGCAGCTGCAAAGTCGGGCGCTGTAGAAACCGTGGTATAGCAAATTCAGGAAACTCAAAAGAAGAACTGCAGCACTTCCAAACATGCACAAGCTTTCAAAAGTATCAAAACTATTTGAAAAAAAAATAGAAAAAAATATTAAAGAAATTTGTGACACAGACGTCTCATACGTATTTGCAAAATATTATATTTATATTTTGTAAAAGTTACAAGAAATGCAATAAATAAATGCACAAATGCGTCTACACAATCATTGCGGTGCACTGTAAATATTACAGTGGGTCAAATTGTATCTGATGAATTAGAAAACTTACTTCTCAACAGCATCATCACAAGTATCAACGAATGTGAGAAAGTCTTCAGCAAAATAAATACATTTTAATGCCAGCGTGTAGAATCCCATAGTGAAACAACATAGAAGGACCACCATGATCATAACCACAATCACTTTGGTGAGTACAAAACAGGGACATCGTACTGGACAGAAATAAATTGTATGTATTTGTGACCAGTAAATTAAAGTTGATAAAATAGTCAAGATACTTTAGAGGATAATTTGTGCTGATATGAATTATTAATAATTGTAGTCTCATTGAATTAAATCCTATAATTAAGGACGGTTAAGCATATATTTTCTTATATAGTAGAATATTTATTGATGATTTTAATTTTGAATTGATGACAACTGATATTTCTTATATATGAAATATGTTTAACTATTTATATTATCAATACATATTTTATAATTTGACTTACACATATTGATATCTTGTATTTTATTTCATAAATAAAATTTTCAATCAAACGTTACTTAAAACAAAAGTTTTTATTTTTATTTGATTTGAATATGTCATTGAATTGCTTGGATATATATATATATATATATATATATATGTATAATTTAAACAATTTCTAATTCCGTGAATTCATTCGAAAAGAAAGTTTATATCCTTATATCTATGGTTTATATACTCCAAAATAACTCTTAGAAATAAAAATTTTGTGACAACGTTGCATATTTTTGTAATGCATATATATATGCTTTGGTTTGTTGTCTATGAATTTGTTTCGATACTTGTGAAATTTTGTACATGATGGTGACTATTAAGTATAATTCTTATCATAGTTAATACGTTCTAGCAAAATCTAAAGTAAGAGGTATATACTAAGAGCCTTTAACAATATAGTTAATGATGAATACTTGTATATTTTATAAATCGAAATAAATGCCATTAATATCTACTTATTCGGATATTTTTATTATTAGTTTTATATTTCAGGTCTTGGATAATTATATATTATATTTCAAATTCTATATCAATTAATCATCAAGATTCCAGCTATTTTTTCAATTAAGATAATCTTTTAATTCAGATATAATTTATTTATCGCAAAAATCAAATCATTCACTAATTATGTACTTTTATGTAAACTGATAATTTAAATAACATATATTTGAATTTCGCGCTTTAAATTGAACAAGAGGTGACAGCCATTCTGACACATGTTGACAGCTTCAATTGTCAAAGAAAATTTCGTGAATTAACATGTGCTAGCGTTAATTAACGTTTTTTTT